TATTTTGATTTAAAAATTTCATCTTTAGAAATTGAAACTATTTTTGTTTGAGCTGTTTTTCTTTCTTCTTGTTTCTCATGTTTTCTTTTCTTTTTTTTTTTTTTTTTTTTTTTTGGTACGGGGGATTGAACTCATTACCTTGCGCTTGCCAGGCAGGCGTTTATGCCACTGAGCTAAATCCCTGGCTTGTTTCTCATTTTTAATCAAGAAAAGACTGGATTCTTAACACTGCATTACATTTTCCTGGCATTTCTCTATAGTATATCCTGTAAAAACTAGTTGAGTATCAGCTGGTTTAAGGGATTATGGTTTACAGTAGTCAATCATTCGGTTTATATCTAGTCACAATTCATTGCTATTTATTCATTCTTCAAATATTTATTGATTACTCCCATGTGCCAACCATTGTTTTAGACATTGAGATACTATACCTAAAAAGAAAAAGTTTTATACTTACGGGACTTAGGTCCTATAATGAGAATTAGACAACCAAAAATGGTATATATAACACCAGGTAGTAAAAAGTGCTATAAAAGAAAGTAAGGGAAAGAAGAGTAATTGGGGAATATTAGGAAAATGCTACTCTTTGTAAGAGGAGAGAGAGTCTTTGTAAAGTGTCATCAGAGAGGGACATGAACAGAATGGAGGAGAAAACCCTCTACAAATGGGGGGAAGGGCTGTGTTTAGAGAGAATAATATCCCACTGTGCTTTATTCCTTTTCAGTTTTCTTTACATTAACTTGTCACCATGGGGCATCATTTATACATATGAGTACATATGTGTTTGCATACGGTCTTTATTGGTCCTCTTTCTTCTCTAGAACTGCTTGCTGTGCTTAGCATTTCCAAGGATGTGAATAACAAATGCAAAGATCCTGAGGTTGAAGCTTTTTCTGTGACCAAAGAATTGTAGTTCTGGGCAGAGAGGGAGAGGAAAGACAGAAAGAGCAAATTGGGGCCAGGAGTTCAACCAGAAAGGTCCTTGTAAACCCTGGAAATGAGGGTTTTGGAGTTTGTTCTAAGTCTGACTGGAAACCATTGTAGCCTTTTTGAACAGGGAAGAACAGGGCCAGACAAACTTTAAAAGGAACATAATGATTATTAATCCCTGACAGTTAAAATATCACATGACAGAATCAACAAATGACCATTAAAAAACTTATATGTGTTATTTATAAGAGAATAGTTCATATGGTAGTTAGTTTATGCCAAGAAATAATGTTACTTTTTTTGTCAGCTACACTGAAATGTAATTTACTTAATAGAATTCACCAATTTTAAGTATACAATTTGATGAATTTTGACAAATGAATACAATTAGGTAACAACCAATACAATCATGATATTTAACATTTCTATCACCTAGAGATTTTCTCATATTACCTACCTCTTCCCTCAGTGGCACTTAACAGCCAGTCTGCCTTTTCTCCCTCTAGAACAAGGGTGGAGCCTTGCACATACTTAACAAATGCTCTACCACTGGTCTCCATCCTCAGCCCTTTTTTATTTTGAGACAATCTCAATAGTTGATGAAGCGGCCTGCAACTCATGATCCTCCTGCCTCCTGTATACCTGCAGTTATTGGCACCATAATCTGCTTTTTTTAGATTTGTAGGTCTGCTTTTTGAGATTTTTCCTGTGTGCAGAATCATATAATTTGTAGTCTTCTTGCAACTGGCTTCTTTCACTTAGAATACTACTTTTGAGATTTACCTATATTGTTGGGTGTATTAAGAGTTAGTTTGATTTATTACTGTTTTCTTTTATATTATATGAATATATCAAAATTTGTTTATCATTTACTAATTGAAGGGTATTTGAATCATTGTCAGTTTTTGGCTGATGTGAATAAAGCTGATAAGAGCTTTTAAATATATAGTAAATCATTTTTAAAAATGGTACTGGGTCTTGAACCCAGTGACACTTTGTCACTGAGCTACAGCCCCAGCCCTTTTTATTTTTTGAGACAAGGTTTTGTAAAATTGTGTAGGTGGAACTAGAAAGTTTCTTTCATACTGGAATTACAAGTGTATACCACCACACTTGCCTTGACTATAAAGCTTTATGTAGACATATGCTTTAGTTTCTCTTGGGTGAATACTTAGGAATAGAATTGCTGGGTCTGTGGTAAGAAGATGTTTTAACTGTAACAAAAACCACAAAATAATTTTTCATTTGCCTTCTTGCCAGCAGTGTATGGGGTTGAAGTTGCTCCACGTGCTTGCCAGTCGTCAGAATTGTCATTGTCTTTAATTTTAGCCACGTTAGTAGTTACACAATATTATCTGGTGATTTAAATTTGTATTTCCCTAATGATTAACTTTAAAAAAAAGATTGTTCCTGATGCCTGACAAAGATGAACAGGATTTGTTTGAGAAGACCCTGTTGTAATAGGTATAGGGACTGTTGCTGTGTTTTATAGTGAGGGACTGAAACTTGGCTCAGCTTTGAATACAGTGGGGACCAAGTGGGTTTTTTTTTTTTATAGCCAAGGATCAGTGGATGGGAAGTTAGAAAGAGGCAACATGGGGGTGTGGCGGGGGTGTGAGGGAGGTTCTGGCTGAGCCAGTCTGACAGGAGTCTTCCTGGGGCTTTCATTTTAAGTCTCCATGAAGCCTATTCTTAATGTCTTCATTTCACATTGGGCTCTTTCCTTTTGAATTCTCACAGTATTTATTTTCTGAGACATTCATGTTCTATTTATTTATACATAGTTTTTGTTATTTTTTATCTGACTTTATTTTTAACCCTGATCTCAAATCTGACCCTTTGTTCAACTTTTAGTTACATGGTTAGAAATGGCCTAACTGTTATGGCTAGTTTTTGTTGGATCTGGTAGAAATCTAGGAAACTAAGGAAGTTTTGGTAGAAATCTAGGAAACTGAGGAAGTTTGTGGATGTGAATCTTTAAATTGATACAGAATTGTCCTGATTTTCTTGGTAATACTGGTTTACCTTAGAATGCCTCCAGATTTCAGGATGGGCTTAGCTTTTTGAAATGTGGGATAGAGTTACTAATATTAAATATATTACTTGGGTTGTTTGTTTATTTGGTGGTTGTTTTGAGAAAGGTTCTTTTATGTAGCTTGGGTCTACCCTGATTTTATGTGATCCAGACTGGCCTCACATTTGTGGCAGTCTTTCTCCCTCCAGTGCTGAGATAATAGGTGTGCAGCACCACACCAGTTATTACTTGTTATTTTGGAGCTACACAGTTGCTTTAAGAAATATTCAATCTAAACTAACTCCTTATTAGTTTTTTTTTTTTTTTTTTTTGTCTTTTTCATTTTTATTGGTACCAGGGATCGAACTCACGGCTGCCTGTTTGCAAGGCAGGTGCTTATGCCGCTGAGCTAAATCCCCAGCCCCCTGTTGTTTTGTTTTTTGAAACAAGGTCTCACTTTGTAGTTTAAGCTGCCCTTAAATTCACTAGATAGCTCAGAGTGGCCTTGAAGCTGTGGAACCTTCCCGCTTCAGCCTCCTGACTGCTGGGATTAAGGGTGTGTAACACTATGCCTGATTGTCTCATTTGTAAAGTCAAATTTTGGGGTTGTGTCTCTATGATTGTTATTTTTATTAGAAGATACTTACATTTCCCTATATTCCCTGGCTGGAAATCAAATCTAATATAATCTCAAGTAGCAAGACTTGGTATGTATGTAATTATAGATGGAATTGCTGGGTCAAATTGTTGACTCTGTTTAACTTATTTTCAAGGATCCGCCAGATGTTTTCCAAGCTGGCTGCATTGGTTTACACCCTCTCTCAAATGTATAAGGGTTCTAATTTCCCTATACCCTTGCCAACAATTGTTGTTATCTAATTATAGTCATTATTGTGGGTGTGAAGTAGTATTTCATTGTGGTTTCAATTTGCCTCTTCCTGATGACCGATGACAATGAGCATCTTTTCATGTGCTTATTGACTGTGTATCTACTTTGGAGAAATCCTAATTTATATTCTTTGCCCACTTTTAAATAGTCTTTATTTTAGAGTAGAAATTTTTTTATATATTCTGAAGAAAGTTGCTTTACATAAACTTGTTTTGCTCATTCTGTTGTTTTTTCCCTACTTTTTAATGCTGTCCTTTGAAACACAGAAGTCTTAATTTGTTTTTTTTTTTTTTGAGACAGGATCTCACTCTGTAATCCAGACTGGCCTTGAATTTGCAGTGGTCCTTTGGCCTCAGTCTCCTAAATTAGGGTTACAATTTGCACACTGGCAACAAGTTTTTAATGTTTGTTCATTTTTAAGTTTTTAGTTTTGATGAAGTCTCTTCATCTTTCCTCTTCTCTTTCTTTCTATTCCTTGCCCTCTCCATTTGTTTTATTTGTTTTTCTGGTGGTACTGTGGATTGAACTCAGGGCCTTGTGCATGCTAGGCAAGCTCTTTACACTGAGCTACATCTCCCAACACCTCCCCCTCCATTTCTTTTCAATGTGGAGGTCTTACTGTGTTTGCTATGTTGCCAGATTGATCTTACACTGGTGAGCCTCCTGCCTCAGCTTCCCAAGTAGCTAGGGTAACAGTTGTGTGTTACTGAGCCTAGCTAAAGAAGCTATTTTCTATTTCTAGTTTAGGGACTATTTTTCCATAAATGTTGAGACTATTGTCAAATGCTTTTATTCTGTGTCTAATGTCATCATGCATTTTTCCTTTATAAACGTGTGCTACATTGTTTGTTTGTTTGTTTTTTTTTTAGGTGCTAAACCAACCCTGGTTTTTTAGAGCCCTCTTGTTCATCACTTGGGACCCTTTTCATGTTGTGATGACTTTGGTGTGCTGGTTTTTCTCTGATTTTTGTCTTAATATTTGCAAAGTATGTTGGTCTGTAGTTTTTTTTTTTTTTTCTCATATGTTGTGTTTTGGTGTCAAGGTAGTACTGGTATCATACAATAGGTATAGAAGTATTTTTTCACCTAGCTTTTGGGAGAATTTATGAAAAATTGACATTTTTAAAAAAAGCTAATGATATTTCAAATTTCATTTTCGTCTTTTAGGATTCTCCTTTCACAAATGCAGGAATGGGATCTAATCTGAACCTCCTAGGGGAAATTGAGTGTGACGCCAGCATAATGGATGGAAAATCCTTAAATTTTGGAGCAGTTGGAGCACTCAGTGGTATGTGAGCATTATGATGTCCTAGTTCTGTTCTTTGAAAAACTGTTTGTATTGCCATTTAACACTTCCAAGAACAGTTCTTGCTTGAAATAGTGTTGAAAACAACCAATTTCCTTTTCCTTTTTTGGGGGGTGTTGGGAGTTGAACCCAGGGCCTTCATACTGAGCTAAGTTCCTAGCATATCCGTAACACTTCTGGAGTTCTTTATTTTGACACAGAGTTTCAGAAAGTTGGTAAGTTGCCCAGGTGGTCTTGAACTTGTGCTCCTCTTGTCTTACTGTCAGAGTGCTGGGAGTGCAGACGTGTACCACTGTACCTGGCAGTGTTCTTCAGTTCTTTTTAAATTTTAGCTACAGACAATTAAAAAAAAAAAAAACAAGGCACTGTGTCCAAGTTTATGATTAGAATTAGATCATTTTATGAAACACATGAATGTTTTTATAATGAAAAATTTCAGATGATATAAAAATACTTACCTTTGATCTTCCAGATCTTTTCTTTTCATCTCTTTCTCCTACTGGTGTTTAACCAGTAAAAGTCCAATTCCTTTATCTACCTATTTATGTAGTATATTGAGAAACAGTTTTATTTTGTGAATGTTGTTGTTTTTAAAAGAATATGTTATTTTGAAATTTTTTTCCTTTGAATAGGGTATCTTCAAGATCTTTGTTCCCACATCACTATATAAAATAATCTTTTATATTTAAATATATGTGAAGTACACAGATTTTACATGTGCAGATTCATTAATTTTGAAATGTATATAGCCACGTATAATCATATAAATGTATACAGCTAGATCAAGAAATTAAGTATTTTCCTGTTAAGTTCTAAAACCTTTCTTTACTTCCAGTATGGTTCTTTCCTCTCAGAATTATAATAAGTCAGCTTACTTTCTATATATGTAATGGTTTATTTTGTTCCTTGTTATGACTGGCCTTGCAAAATGAATTGGACATTCTTTTCTATATTCTTTATAAAGGATTTCATGTGATTAGAATGATTTCTTTGTACTCATTTGGAAGAGTTTTTTACTCTGAATTACTAGGCTTTTCTCTGTGGGAAGTTTTAAATTATGGGCTTCAACATCTTTAGCATTTGTAAGATTATTCATACATTTTTCTCCTACATATTCTTTAAGAATTATGACTGTTTCTTATGGGTTGCCACATTTATTTACCAAAAGACATTTTAATTAGTTTTCCTTATTGATTCTGGTTTAATTTGACCATGTTCAGAGAGGTGTTGATTCAAATACCTTGAAACTTCTAAGTCTTAATGTCCCAGCTTATGGTATGTTTTGAGCATGTTCCATGTGAACTTCAAAAGAATGTTTTATGCAGGTATTGAATGTAGTGTACTGTATCTGTCAATTAGGTCAGTTATTTATACTGATCTTTTATATAATTTCAGACTTTTATGATAAGTAAAAATGGTATTTCAGTTAGTTTTAATTTTATTGTCTTTCATTATGAAATTTTACTGATATTTAGTACAATTTAATGTGTTCAAACACCATTAGCATTTTGTTTATAAATTATTCATACCTCTTATTTGACTTGTCTTTTGTCTCAGCTTATAATGTTCCTTGTTATATTGGCATTCAAAAATTTAATTTGTCAAGCATGTTTCTTCCTTTTTGTGGCTTTTGAATTTCCATTTTTAAAGTTTCTTTCATAATTTGTAAGTACAGTCACCTATGTTTTCTTCTAATGTATATAATTTAGTTTTCATTACATTGTTTTATTCTAATGTCTAAAAAATTTCTATATAACTTATTGACTAACAATGATAGTAATAATTAGCATTTGCATGACTATAACACTAGGCAGTATTTTAAATGTTTTATATATATTGTCATTTAATTCTCACACTAAATTTATCAGTGCATTTAAATGTATATAAATTTATTAATGCATTTAATCAATGCTTTTATCTTCATTTGACAAATAAACTGAGACACAGGAGAGCTTTAGTAATTTTTTGAAGGTTATATCTGAGTCAAATTAGGAGTCAGAAACTATACAATAGTTTAAGTAGAAGTTTAACATAAAGAATTTTGTTAAGCTGAGACAGGACACTAACGGTAGATAGACAGAAGGAGATGATCAAGCATGTTCTAGAGCAGATGGCAATACCCAAGGAAGGGTAAGCTGGAAATACTGGAAATACATATAGCTCAGTGTGTGAGAGAGGAGTTGCTGGAGTCTCTGGACCTGTGCTGGCGCACAGTCATTGTGGTGGGACTAACCCTGTGAGGTGCAGGTGAACTCCTGCTGGTGGATGAGGTCAGGAGGCTGCGGGAATTAAACAGATTGTTTATGGGATGAAGAGCGGGTTTTGGCTCAGTAGACAGCAGTCCCTGTGGGACACTTGCTGTGTGTGCCTTTGGGGCTGAGGAGAGGGCATGGGGATGCAGAGACAGGGTGCAGGGTGAAGTCTTGTTCTTTCTAGGACTCTCAGCCTTGCGGCTGTGACCCGAATCAGAGGCTGGTCCAAACACATAGTGCCTGCATGTTGGAGAAAGCTGTGCCTTGCAGGCACTTAACCTTGATGCACACCTCGCGGGCCACATCTGCTGACAAAATTACACTCCAGACTCCTGGCCAGCAGGGTACCCTTTCCCATGCAGTGTGTCTCCAGTGCCCTCTACTGACAAGCTTACCATGTGCCAGCTGGCAGGAGAATCCTATGTTAAGGGCCCATATCTGTTTCCCAAGATTAGGTACCAGAGGATAAATTTGTATTTGAGAAGAAATAATGGGATAGCTGTCACAGTTACAAAGTATCTTGACTATGTTCCTCACACCTCTTATGTATGATCTGTTCTGTTTCCACTCACTTGAAATGCCACCTGTATATATATTAAAAACTCAACATTTTAGCTTTATTGTGTTCCATTGATTATTTATTTTGTACCTAAACCACACTGGCTTAATTTGAATACCTTTGAATAAAGAATGATGGCTTTGTGTTTACTTTTATCTTTATTTTATTTTATGGTACTGGGAATTGAACCCAGGACCTTCACACTGAGCTATGTTCCCAGGCATCTTCCCATTCCCTTTTATTTTTATTTTTATATTCAGACAGAGTCTTGCTAAGTTAAGGGCATGATTTCTGGCCTTATCTACTTGTGTTAAAATTTCAGCTCTGTGACTTTGGATAAGCAATTTTACCTTCTCTGCAAATACTTTCTCATTACTGATACAGGCTTCCTAGTCATAGCTACCTGATAGATGGAAATGTATCACTTGATACATTGAAGAGTTTGACATTGGACCTGGTACATATCGGGTACTAGGTTACTTTTGCCATCTATGATCTTCATCATTGTCCTGTTTGTGATTGTCATTGTCATCCTATTTATCATTGTCATTCTGACTGTGTTTGCCACGTAGGTGCCCTACTGAGGAGTTAGCATTCTCCAAGATGAGAACTGCCATCTCACGAGTATGTAGTGTTTTGCTCTTTGGAAATGGTCCAGACCAAATTTTAGATTGTAGGCTTGTACATACTTGACCTCTCCCCTCAACTTTACCCAGTTTAAAGGACTTTGTGTTTTGTTCTCTTGTGAGTGAGATTTTAAGGTTTTGTCCTACCTTTCCTCATTAATTTTTTTCCTGTTGATAAAATGAGAGCTATTTATGATTGTATTTATTCTTTAATGATTATATGGTCAATAAATGCCTGGAACATTTAGTTAGATTTGATAGTAGGGGAGTGGCACATTTTCAATTCATTTTTTTTCTTCTCTATTGTGGAATCTATTAAAAGAGAACCAAATTGAAATGTGTAGTATTTCAAGTTCAATCTTTGCTGCTGTGACATATAATAAAATGTGAGAATATGTTTTATATTTGTTTTTTCTTGCATCCAAAAATGTAATATATTTTAAAATTTGACTAATTATGCATAATTGTTTTTATTATTTAATATTTTGAAAGAGAAGAATCTCTAAGATATTTAAATTTATGTTATTATAAACAGCTGTACAACAGAGTGAAAAACAAAGACATTCTTTATTTATTTTCTACCAATTTTATTTTACAGGAATCAAGAACCCAGTCTCAGTTGCAAACAGACTCTTGTGTGAAGGACAGAAGGGCAAACTCTCGGCTGGCAGAATTCCTCCTTGGTAACCACTTTGTTCTTTCTGACTTTCCCAGGGTCTTTGGTCTTTGGTGCATGCAGTGTTTGAAGGCTGTTTTTATCTGTGGAAGGCTAATGCTGTTGGTTATACACCAGCTAAGTATGCCTTTGAGAGTAAGATACACTTTGTTTTGTGATCTTCTAATATTTTGCACACTGAAAGCTCCAGATGGATGTGATATGATAGATTAAAACCGAGAAGATTGAGAGACAGAGGTTTGAAGGAAGGGATCTCTTTTTTAGTTAGCACCATAATCCCATTGTGAGGGCCCGTCCTAATCATGTTCTTGTTAGTGGGACAAAATACCCAACACCTATAACATAAAGGAAGAGAGGTTTATTTGAACTGCTAGTTTTTAGAGGTGTCAATGTATAGTTGGCTGACTCCAAGGCAGAAATATATAGTGGAGAGTTCTGGCAGAGGAAAGCTGCTGATGTTATGGTGGCCAGGAAGCAGAGAAAGAAGAGAGAAGCCAGGGAGGGGGATATATCCTTCTAGGTCATGCCTTCAGCGACCCATGTCTTGTGACCAGCCCACACTCCTGACAACATCAGCTATAGCACTCCGGGGATCCAGTTGCCTTGTACAAGCCCTGCTTCTGAATGCGTGAGAGTTTAGCAGTTATTTTTAATCTAATTCATAACAGGACTATACCCTCACGATATCATCTGTCTTTAATTATCTCCCAAAGGTCCCATCTCTGAATATCAGCGCACTGAGGACCATGACTTTAAGTTGTAAATTATGGGTGGATACAATTCAGTTCATAACCATAGATCTCTACATCTTACAGTGAAAAAATCAAATTGCCAATGATAAGTTCAGTTTATGTTTTCTTCAAAAACTACAAACTAGTATGATGCAGACCTGTTTCTGACTTTATAGACTAGGAAAAAAACGCTTCACCAGAGTTTTGGAAGCTGCCTGAACTGAATGCTTTCTAATGGAATCCTTGATCTTCTCTTTGTCTCTTATTTTTACTCTGATTCCATCTTTGCCCTGCTACTCAGTTATGTACTAGTTTATGCTTTTCTCATTCTCTTATAGTCATTCATACTGTTATACTTTAACATATCCACTATTGTAATTTTCTAAAACTAGGTAAGTATGCACATTGTTGCAGAAAAATGATAATACCAAACTCACTGTGATTACCACAGAGGAGAAGGAAAGAGGGAACAAAGTGAAATAGTTGTTAGAAGGGACAGGTAATATTTATTATTTCCTAAGGGCTAGATGTGGTGGTGGATGCTTGTAATCCCTGCACTTGGGAGATTGAGACTAGAGGATTGCTGTGGGTTTTACAAGGAGAATATATATAGGAGAAGATAATGACCATGTCTTCATAAAAATAGAACAGTGCTACACCTGTCTGCAGCTAGTTTGTGATTTTCTCACGTGCATAATTTTTCAGCTTTATTTTTGTTTCCAAACTTGTTTGATATTTTAGGCTTTTTATATTTCCATATGAACTTAAAATTAACTTGTTTATTTCTATAGATAGCTTGCTGGAAGTTTGTTAGGATTTCAGTAAGCCCATTTTTTAAGGTCTTTATTTAACTTCTCTGAACAGGGTTTTTATAGTTTCCATTGTTTAGGTCTTGCACATATTTTATCATGTTTATTTGATAAATTTTTATCAAATGTTTATTGTCAGTATATAGAACTATGTAAATATGATTAGTTTTATCATTGATATTCTATCCTGAGGATTTGCTAAAATCATTTTTATAGATTTCATAAGATCTTTCTTTTCCTTAGGATTTTCTACATAGATATTGTGTCTTCTGGGAATATAATTTTACTTTTTATGGAATTTTAAAAATTAATTTCTTTTTCTTCCTTAATTTCCCTGGTTAGAACCTCTAGACCAATGTAGACTAGATGTGTAGGAGATAATATCTCTGTCTGGTTTGTGATCCTAGGGAAGAAACCTTTGGATCTTTGGTCTTTAACCATTAGGTATGATGACTGCTGTAGGTCTGTTCCTTATTTTCTTTATCATGTTGAGAAAGTTTTCTTCTCCTTATGTTCTGAGGGCTTTTTTTTTTTAAACGGGAATGAATTTTATTTGCAGTTTTTTTTTTTTTGTGCTAGGGATTGAACTCACACCCACACGCTTGCCAGGCAGTCACTGATGCCGCTGAGCTAGATCCCCGGCCCTTAGGAATGAATTTTGTACAAATCTTTTTGTGCATCTATTGAGAATGGTCTTATGATTTTTCTTACTTAGTTGGTTACTATAGTGATTGATTTTGACTCTTAAAGCAGCATAACCATTACTAGGATAAATGCCAGTTGGTAGTAATGTGTTATTCTTTTTTATATATTGCTCATTTCAGTTTGCTAATATTTTGTAAAGAATATTCACATGGGCTGGGGATTTAGCTCAGTGGCATAAGCACCTGCTTTGCAAGCTCGTGGTTGTGAGTTCAATCCCCAGTACCAAAAAAAAAAAAAGAATATTCACATGTTTATGAACCATACTTTCTGGCAGTGTTGGTCAGTGGCTGTGAGCTGCCTTTCAGCCATGAGAGTAAACACAGACACTCTATATGATACTACATTACTAAGCTATAATATTTGGAGAGTGAGGTGTATGAAGTATATTTTAATGTGATGTTTTCTGTTGTAATGCGCTTATTGGTATGTAAATAAGCCCCACTGTAAGTTGAGGAGCATTTGTGTTTGGCCTCTTATAGTATCTCTGCAGATCGAATTGGATGATTTGTTTACTTTTTTCATTATTTTTACTCTCACAGTGGTTTTGAAATTTACATTGCTATGTTTTCAAGTTCATTGATTAGTTTTCTACAGTATTGAATTGTCTGCAAATTATAGCCAGTTTATTTTTTATTTCTGACGTAGTTTTATCTCAAGGTTGATTTGTGTATTTAAAAATGTCTTCCATCTCTCTGCTTAGCATTTTTTTCTCCCTAACTTCTTGAGTGTATGAATACTGTTATAGCAATTGTCTTGAATATTTTTATATACTAACTGTTTCAAATTTGTTATTTCTGGATTTTTCAAAAGAGTAAGTTTCTCCTCATTTTAGGTAATACTTTCCTAGTTTTTATATACTTGACAGTTTTTTATTGGATTCCAGAGTGTGTGAGTTTTATCTTTTTGGAAGCTGTGTATGTATTTTTTTATTTTAATGATCTTGAACTCCATTTAGGATGTGGCTAAGTTATTTGATTCTTTCAGATGAGACCAGAAAAGCATTTAGCCTTGAGCTAATATAATATTGCCTTGCTGTGAGATAAAACCTCAATGTAGTGTAGTAGTATAATAGATACAACTAGAATGAGGCATTTCACTCTGGCTGCTGGATGCCAGAGCTGTCCCTGGCCCTGTCTAAACTTCACAATTTCCTTTAGAAAATAGTCGAGTTGTTTGTTCCAAGGCTTTGTGTGAACTCCTCTTCCACATGCCTTGCTCTCCTTTTGGCCTGGACTGGAAGGGGAGTCTCTGCAATTCTCCCCAGTTCTGTGTGCAGCTCTTTTCTCTGGTGCTGTGTTCTGTGAACTCTGGCCTCTTTGGTTTCTCTGGTTGCCCAAATCTGTCTCTTCAGCTCAGGCGCTGCTGGACTCCTTTGCTGTGGGCTGGGAACTCTCCTCACAGTATTGAAAGTGAACCTGTGCTAAGGCTTATGTTGTTTCCTTTCTCTCAAGGAAGACTATCCTCTGTTGCCTGATATCTGATGTCTAAAACTGTTCTCTATATTTTATCTGTTGTTTTTACGTTTATTCAAGCAAAATGGTATATTTATTGTTATACCATCTTTCCAGAAATAGAAATCTCTCACATACTTAGAAGTAAGCTCTATAATTATATGAGCTTAAAAATAACTAGCCAAATTCTGAGTATCCTAATTTTACTTGGAGCTTATTTATACATGATTTATTAAGCTTAATTGTCTGACTTCTAGAATGATACTAGCTAATGCTTGTTGCATTTGTACTTTACAGCAAACATGAGTTTTTCTGTATTAGCTCATAAAAATTATATAATTTATGAAGGTAATATACATTTGGTAGATGAAGAACATGAGTCCCAGGTTTGCTGACAGTTATAGTGTTAGAAATTTGTGGGGGTCATCCATATTCCATTAAGAGTAATTGTGTATATATCCATTCATTTCCTTATGCATTCATTCATTCACTCATTCAGGAAATAAATATTTTTCAGTTGCTATGTATCATGCATGGAGGTAGAAAAACTATAAAAAGAAACCAGAGAACTTAAATACCAAGAGTCATCTTTTGAAGAAGTAGACCAATCTCTGGGGACAGTAAGTCATTACACATAATGGGTGGTTTCTAAAAAGCACCCATATAAAGTTCATTATTTGTGTAGCCCATTGGGAAAGCAGGAGGTATATCTATTTGAGTAGTGTCTAAAATTGTTGAGAATTTATAAAATCCTACTGCTTCTTTGGAAAACCCTTAGCAGAACTTGAGGCAGAATGGTTCATTTCACCAGTGCTTCCGTTGGTACCATCATATGTTGTACTGTTTAAGTACTGATGTTTGATGAGACTAGTGCACTGTTTGATATCTTTACAGAATTGGTACTGTCATCAGGAACTATCATATAGCATTTCTTTACTTAAATAATCTTACATCTTTTCCTTCATTATGCTAGGATATAACTTTGTTGATCACTTCCATATAGAAAGGGAGTTTGAAGGTTCATGTCTGTGGGCCAAATTGAGCCTGTTAGGTGTCTTTGTAAATAAAATTTTATTGAAACAGCCATTCTTACTTGTGTGTACATTGTTTGTAGTGGATTGGGCAACATTGAGTTCCTGCAGCAGAAATATTCTAGCCCACATAACCTAAATGGCCCTGTGTGGACAAATTTGCTGACTCTTAATGTAGAAGTTTTAATTTTGGAAGTTATATTTCTTTTAATGAAAAAAGAATAACTGGGTAGGCACTGTTTTATTTTTAGTTTGAATAAAAACTTAGATACTCATTGGACATTCAAGTTTTTTGAGAAATGAATTTAAATTTTATATATTGTTTATTTTAAATTACTGTTTTTTTCTATTTTATAAATTCATTTAGATTTACACAACTTTTACTGATGATGTGATAATAAAATTTAAAAACCTAGGGGTTAAGAGAATATGTGTGACCTATGAATAATCAGAAAGGATTATACCTCAGTCAAACAGTAAAAAAACTTTTAAACAATATGCAAATAATAATAGCAGTCTTTTACAAGGCAGTCAGGGAAGTGTGAAGTTTGGATATTTTTGACCCTAAAGATCGGTCGCGCAGGTTTTTGATGTGTTGATTATTGTGATTTTTTAAAAAAAGTCAGTTTTGGACATGTATCTAAGGATATTCATACCTGAAATTGTATCTGGGATTTGCCTCAAAATATTTTTGGAAGAGGGATAAACATGAGTGAGATTAACAAATTACTAATAGCAGTTAAAACAGAGTGATGATCTGTTGGGTTTATTATCTTATTCTATGTACAGTGATTGTCACAGTACTATACTGGACTGCTGTAACAAAATACCTTAGCTTGGATAGTTTATAAATGACAAAATGTTATTTCTCAGTTCTGCAGGCTGAGATGTCTAAGATTTGTGAGTCAGAAAGTTTGGCCTTGGATAAGGGCTGTGTGCTCACATGTGGCACCATCTTGCTATGTACTCACACTCATAGGAGGGTTCTGCCTTCAGGACCTAGATCCCTCCCCAGAGTCCCTAGAATTTCTAGAGGAAGGTCACAGATATTCACTCACATTAGTAATATATTTTTAAAATTTTCTATGATAAAAAGTTTTAAGAGTTTCATTCTTAATTTGGTTGTTTATTATTTCCAAATATAGGAAGCTGAACCTCATTTATTTACCTGTTTATAAGCTTTGCAAGCTCAAGAGACTAAGCTGTCTTTTTCAATTTTATGTGTTTATGGTACAAAGAAGTGATAGGTAAAAGAGAAATGTGTTGGAGTGCAAAGAAATAGTGATTATTTTCTTCTGTATCTTTCTTACTCAGAGTAATGTTTTTATTTAATAATTAATTTATTAGTTTTGGTTTTCTTGAGAAACAGTCTCACTATAATTCACTTACTACGTAGTCTAGATTGGCCTTGAAGTCACGGTGATCCTCTTGTCTCGACCTCCTGACTGCTAGGATTATAGATGTGCACCACCAAACCCGATTTAGAATAATGTATTTTGATACTTGATCCCTGAGGATCCTTAAGAGCTTTCTGAATCCATCATAGTGTAATTCAGAACCCTATTTTTGCCCAGGTAGTGCATTCCACATGTTTTGCTCTGAAAACACATGTAGCTCGACTTACTGAAAGTTTCAGTGACCGCATCTCAGTCTCAGCAGAGTGTTGCTACTTTTGTTTTGCAATTCTGTGGATCTACTTTAGTATGAATTAAAATGGGTATAGCACAAGGTAAATACTAGTCTTTTCCTTGGTAGGAAAGTTGATTTTATTTAGCATCTTCCCAGTGTTTATTTAACTTTCAGTATGCTACAGGCATTGTTCTAATTTGAGATTTATTGATAAAAAACCCAAAGATTCCCTACCTTTATGAAGCTAATAATATGTGAGAGGGAGATAGAAATAAGCCAGCAAAAAGAATACATATATTATAATACTGTGTTAGAAGGTGGAAAATATAAAAAGGGAAGGGTGAAGGAGATTTGGCTTAAAAGTGCAGTGTTTTGGGATGTATTTGTACTTTTCCTTTTATTTATTTTTTTACTCATAATTAACATGCAGTATTTGTAACATAATAAGGAGATGAAATGTGATATTTCCACATCCTGACATGTGCCTGGCTCTTTTCCAGGTGGGATGCATGTTTAATAGGTCTCATCGAGGAAGGATTTGTGCAGATGAGGAAATTGCCCATTTGGGAAGCAGGGGAGGGACAGAGGGAGCTGTGGAGATCAAGTCCATGAGGCAGCTACTCCTTAGAGTATTTGTAGCTTTACAGAAGATTAAAATAGAATATGCAGAAAGGCAAGAGGTATAAGAGATGAGACAGGGAGAATTCTTTCACTCAGGAGCTTATAGATTTCTTCTAAAGGTAACAGTGTTTACACTAGTCCTCATTTGAAGTTTTGTGGGATTTTGAGAGAGAATGACATTATTGGATTTGTGTTTTGCAAAGATTTTCATGCTAGTGTGTTGAGAATTAACTGTAATGGGGGTGGAAGGGACAAGGCCAGCATAGAAGTAGTGAGGCTGTTGCAGCAATGCAGGTATAGCATGGGGCTGGTGAGAAGTGGGCAGATTCCAGGCATATTATGAAGTCCATTCGATTTTGTCATGGATGTGATGAACTGTCTTTAAAAGGTTCTTTCTTGGTGGGTCAGAGAAAAGCTTGAGAGAAGTATGAATTGGCACTGCATTTAATGTTGTGAAAAGTGATTCCCCCCATATTAATATAATTTTTAGCAAAAATTTGTGCTAAAATGATTATCAAAAGCAGTTATACAACATTTTGTGTGATAATGAGCTCTTAGCCAATAATTTTTTGATAATAAGGAAAGGTCATATGTTTCGAATACTTTTCCATAAAATGTCATCCAAGTAGCCTATGAATTTTTCCAAATGTCTAAAGTATATAAAAACTTGCATAGTAGATTACAGAAAATTGATTATGTTTAGAATAAAATAAGTATTGGACTGAAAAATGAAGCTAGTGCTGTATTATAAAATGCCCCTTATTCTACAGTTGGGATTGAACCCAGAATGACCAATGGAGTGCTAAGAATACTAGATTCAACTTGAAACTTTTGTCTTAATCATTTAGATTACTATTTCAGCTTCTATTTTACATCTTCACATTGAGGTGTTGTTTGTTTTATCAAGTTTTTTTAAAAAGAAAGTGCTGATAGTTGCCATCAGGAAATCTCAAATCTACAGCTATGGTTTTTTTATTCTAATGTTTGAATTTTATGTGAGAGCTTTTCTTTGCAGTGATTTTTATTTGGGAAAACTTTTTTAGTCTCAGAATCCTTTAGAATATTTGAAAATAGAGATTTGAAGAGGTAAGGTTGGTTATTCTTTTTGGCCCTATCTCCTCTCTTTTTCAGTGCTTCACCTTTATTAGACCGAGTGCAGTGGTACATGCCTGTCAGTTCCAGGTACTCGGGAGGCTGAGGCAGGAGCATTCCAAGCTAGAGGTCAGGCTGGGCCAAGTTTTAGTGAGGAGACCCTGTTTAAAAATAAACCAAAAGGGTTTGAATTGTAGTTCAGTGGTAGGGTATTCCTGGGTTTGATCCTCAGTACTGTTAAAAAAGTAAAAGGAGAAAAAAGTTAAGTTTTTGAGATTAACTGTTTAGTTTCTTGTGGGAACCATTTGATGTGGTTTCTGAGAGTCTGATTAGATTTTGTTTTGCCAATCTGTTGTGAGTCTTATTAGAAATCAAATCTTCAGTATATATTCTGTGGAGTTTTTATTGTTGGGATCATTAGAAGAACAGAAACAAAAAATACTGAGTGAGAAACTAATAAGCAGACACTAGTTCAAGGAATCCATTAATAGCTGGCTGAAATCATCTTAAGAAGTTGGCTACAGAAGAAGATGAAGTGATTGTTATGGGTACTACTTGCTTTTATTATCTGCTTAGTCAAATCTTGAGGGGATAGGGTAATTAGCCTACATGCTATTTGAAATCTTTGAAAATGAGTCTTTCACAGTAAGTTAGCAGTATCTTATTATTTACTTTCAATTTAGGATTTAAAAATTACTTTTGATACATGCCACAATACTTTAGTCATCATAATAAAATGATTCTGAAGACTGATGTGTTTTTGTTGCATTGAGACTTAAACTCAGAACCATTATCCAAGACAAATCTTATTTTCTGCTGGGTAGTCAACTATTTTTGTCAACTTTGTTGATTTTTCCCAGTTTTTACTTGTTATTGAAAGTGAATAAAAATTTTAAAGGGATTTTGAGCATGTAGCCATCTTAGTATTTTTGAGCTAAATCTAGAACTATATCTGTGTACAGGACTTTTTTCGGTTGCCATACAATATTACTTGTATTACATTGTTGATTATGTGGAAGATGACATTATGCATTTTTAAAAGAATTTTTCTGTTGTTAGCTTTTTAGTTGGAGAAGGAGCCTACAGATGGGCAGTAGATCATGGAATTCCCTCTTGCCCTCCTAACATCATGACCACAAGTGAGTAAAAACTTGAAAAACTGAGCTGTGTGACCACACACCCTGGAAAGTGTTGCATTGTCTGTAGTAAGACCTATATAGTATAGATATTTAAGAAAGAAGGCTTATACTGTATGTGGAAATATTTATAGTTCAAAGATACATCAAAAGTGATTTGACTCTTAAGCCCTCCTGAGGCCTCCCTAGTGATTTTGCAAAGCTACTGTTCAAGGATACTGTTTAGTTACGTGAAAGAATTACTAAGAGGGAAAGAGAGAAAGGAAGAGAGGGAGAGAACATAGGTTAACATTTAACTGTGCTTGAGCTATGGAAGGACTTTTTAGGTACAAGGGCATGGGGAGGAAGAAAAGAAAGCAGTGCCACATTAAACTGAAAACAATTTTACAAATAGGATAAAAGGATATATAAGTTTATGAAGAAGTTTCCCAATTTAAAATCACGGAGATACAACTGGAAGAATAATAAAATCCCATGAGTAGATAATATACCATAACTATAGATTCGAATTGAGCACACGTAAAATTTATTCCCTGTAAACTTATGAAAGTTTAAACATATCACATTTTTTCTGTTAAGTGGGTATTTGAAATGAACAGAATACTTTGTAGTTACAAATAAATGTGACTTGGCAGGAGAGATTTTGGAGTAGTATAAGTCAAGACTCTTAAACTTATACTGCAGCTAGGAACCTGTCATTAATTACATAGGCAAAAATTAATGTAGAAGGGTGTTTAGTGAGCATTATTTAGAGTTTAAAAGTCTTTGGAAAAATTCAGTGTCCAACAAAGGAATGTGGATAAGTTATGTGTTCTTTTTTTAAAGGATGAAGGATTTATTTAACTCACCATTTGTGGAGGTTTTAGTTCACGGTTGGCTTCAGTGAGAACGTGTTATAGCCTATGGTAGAGGCACTTTAGTGCTTACAAATTTTTAATCAGTGGACACACACATAGGGTGACGTGGTAAAGAGGCTTCGCAGAGGAGAAACAGTTCATAGTGAGCACAAGGCAGCAAAGTAGTGAAAAAGCAAAGTAGGAAGCAGGAAGTGAAGAAGTTATGTGTTCTTACAATGAAACATTACAAAATAACTACAAATTATTGTGAATACTTATGTGTGATAGTGATTAAATTTAATAATGATTTTGAAAAAAGTGGAAAATGACATAATGTAGATGTATTTTGAAAAATACCTATATATTTGCATAAAGTAAATATTAAAATATGCTAATTGCTTTTAAAATTAAAGATTTTTATCAACAATGTGAATCTGACTTAATGAAATGAAAAATGAATCATAAACTCTAGGAAAAATAAAATGTATAGGAAATACATGATTGTATTTTTTAGCAAGTATAAAATAAGTCTCAGCTCTTACAGATATGTTCAAATTGAGTATATTGGAGCTGAAAGTTGCAGGGAAGTTGGAGAGAGAGAGAACTCTGTGAGCAACAGAAAAACAGGAATAGGAGAATTCTCAGTGCTCATCATCCCCACCATTAATTTTGTTTTACAATCTCTCCACTGGAGCCACTGTGGAGCTCATATATTTGGTAAGCAAATCCAGTCATCTGCCAGTCCTGGCTTTTTCTCAGGGAGATGCTGCTAGCTGGCATTTTCAAGTCTAGTCTTGTTAGGTCTGCTGTAGAGCAATCAGCTCTGGACTTCTCCTTGGTATTCACTTGCTTGTCTCCAGTACCAAATTCTGTTTCTGTATCTCATGTGGTTTTATTTCTTGTTTTACTTCACTGTGAGACTAGAAATCATTTTCCCTTAGGTTTTAGAAATTATTCTCTTATTATCTAGTTTCTAGATTTGCTATTATGCAAGTCTCCTAATTTTTGTGGTATGTTTTATCTCTGGAAGGAAGCTCTTAATTCCCATGTTTTGGTTATTGCAGAGAAGCATTCTGGAATCAGTTTTTTTTCTTTCTTTTTATTCTCCATGCTGAGTATTCATTTTGTAGTTTCAGTTTGGATATCAATGTGCTTTAGTTTTAGGGAAACTAAAAGTTTGTGGAATAATTTCTCCATTTTTTCTATTTTAAATTTTCTGTTATTTTAATATTGAATCTGTATCTTTCTCAAGCATTGTTTTTCACCTTTATAAATCCTCTACCCTTTACCCTGCTTTTTGAGTTTTTTTCAATTTCCCAAACATCTATGTTTGTGTTTATAATTTTCATTTATATATTTTAGATTTCTAGAGCTCAATTTCTGATCATTATTATTTTAAATAGCATCCTATTTTTATTTCAAGCATGCAGTGTTTTTGCATATCCTCAGGATATTATGGCTTGCTGTTTGTTCTTCTTCTTTTTTTTTTTGCCTTTGGGGATTGAACTTAAAACCTCCTGCTTGCCAGATAGGCACTTGTACTACTGAGCTAAATTCCTGGCCCTTGCTGTTTGTTCTTATCTACTTTTTCCTTTTCCTTTTTTTTTTTGTTCATTTGTTATGGACTCTAATACATGTTGCAATTTTTTTCAGCTATTTAGTGGCCCTGGGTTTTCATATTCATGAGGTGAGGAATTTAAGGGCCCTTATCAAGCTTTGTGTGTGAATTTAAGGGCCCTTATCAGGCCTTACTAACCTCAAGGTGGGTTGTATGATCGGATTTTTTTCTTGGGCAAATCTCTTATATGTCATCCCAACAAAACCTTTTGTCTGTTTTCCTAGCTCTGATGGGGCAGTGACTGGTGGTCTGGTTACAGAAAAAGGAAAGGACTGGAGGTCTGATCTTTTTTTCCAGACTTTTATGTAAACATCTGTGTAAAGCACCTGAAACCTGGTCCCAGAAGTGGCTGATGTCCTTAACTAATTTGAGTCCCATCTAGTATAATCTCTCCAAAGAGTAAATGTCATGTGTTCTTCTGTAAACAGGAGGAGAGGATTTGGGAATAGCTCTTCTTTATTGTTAGTTTTTCCTAGTTCTTTTGCTTTCATCCAAACCTGGCTTTCAGAGCTAAACTAGATTACAGACATGTGCTACCAGGCCTAACTTAGTCTGCTAATTTTTTGTTAAGAGTAATATTAAAAGGTGTTGTAGGTGCCGGGGATTTAGCTCAGTGGTGGAAGCGCCTGCCTGGCAAGCACAAGATCATGAGTTTGATCCCTGGTACCAAAAAAAAAAAAAAAAAAAAAAAAAAAAAGATAACAGAATGGGAAATAATTTGGGCTAGGGATTTAACTCAGTGGCATAAGTCCCTGCCTGGTAAACATGAGTTCATGAGTTCAATCCCCATACCAAAAAAAAAAAAGAAAAGGTATTATAAGATGGCTACTACTATAGGATGACAGAAACAGAAATATTTTTGGCTATACATTAATCTTCTATGTTCATAACAGGAAAAACATAATATACTGTACTTTACTTAGAGCTTAAATAACTAACTAGCAAGAATCATTCCCTGAAAAAAATATGTAAAGTTTAATGGATGCATGCATAAATGTTTTAGAAAAGGAATAAAACATTGACCCATAATGAATCTGAAAAGAGAAATTACATCTATTATGCAGATTTTTAAAAAAAAAACAAATATCCTGTATTTGCCCACTTGCGTTATCTTCAGTAAAAATTGGGTTGTGTATTGGTAGTTGGTAATGATATCCTTTATACCAGACCTTTTTGAAGAGTGTAATTTTTAGATTTTTAGCTTTCTTGACTCTTTCAACAGATTTTGGAAGTCCTTATATTGTTGGTCCTAAACAAACTGGTGACACTTTGAATATTTTCACACATGTACAGTAATTTGTTAGATTTGAATTTTTCACATTCTTTTCAGTCTGGAACTTCTTTTAACTTTAATGGTGTTGGGTATGCTGGTAAAAACTTCTCTGTTTTCATTATTTGAATAATCTTTATTTTGACTTTGTTTTAAAATACAATTTTTCTAAGATGTAGACCTTAAAGATGGTAGGTATTTTTCTGTTAGTACTTTTTCCACATTTTTTATTGTAATAAAATATACATCGAAAAAGATTTACAATTTTAACCATTTTAAGTGTACCATTGAGTCGTACTAAGTACATATGGTAAAAATACACAATGAATGTTTAAATTAAATAAATTATTACAATAAAAAGACATATTGCCACTAAATATCCCCTCACTGTTCAAATATACTTCTCTTACTATTCTTGCCACTCTCTGAAGCAGTTCTAGAAGTCCTCTTTCTTTAGTTTCTGTGTGTGGTGTTACTACAAAATACACTAAGGGTTGCTACTGAGTGCTAGCTAAAGGAAAGATAGGATAAAAGAAGAATTCTGATGTGTCCTCACTCACCTTATTTACCAGATCTATGCAACCTCCAAGTCTTACCCAAAGTAAAAATGACCATGAAGCATAAACATTTTGAGTTGATTCATGGCACTGAGACAGCCACGCCAGCACAGCTAAAGAACATTTTGAGGGAGATTAATGACTATGTGTCTTTTATTGTAACAAGTTAAAAAAATTTTAAACAACTTATTTTTTAATCACACTTCATACTCAGTGTTGTACAGTTATCACCACTGTCCATTTCCACAACTTTTTCATTGTTCTAAATAGAGCTTTGAAGTGTAACTACCTATTCTCCTACTGTTAGCTCCTGCTGATCGCTATTCTACTTTCTGTCTCTATAAATTTGCCTATTTTAGGTATCTTACTACAATTGGAATCATGTAATTTTTTCCTTTTGTGTCTAGCTTATTTTGCATACATAATGCCTTCAAGGTTCATTTATGTTGTTGTATGTATCAGAAATTCCTTCCATTTTTTGTGTAAATAATATTCTGTTGTGTTCTCTTAGCATTTTTAAGATGTTTGGATTCTATTGTTGCTTACAGAAATCAACCATTGTTTTTATTATTGCTTCCCTGTATGTAATGGCTGTTTTTTTTATTTGTTTGTTTGTTTTTTTTTTGTTTCAGGGATCAAACTCACAACCGTGCGCTTGCAAGACAGGTGCTTATGCCACTGAGCTAGATCCCCGGCCCAATAACGGCTGTTTTTAAAAACTG